AAATTGGGAATGGTGGATGAATGTTCCAGACAAGTAGAGGACTTTTTTTCACTCACTCAAAAAGGTAAAAATGCTCTTTAATTCCTCCAACCTTCCCTCATAATATGAATTTGTTTCATACCTTTAATGAAATTACAATTTGAATTTTTACTTTGAAAAGATTTAACCCCAAATTCGGGGTGTGACAACATGAGTATGATGATAATGAGATATAACATTCCAGAAGCTTCTAGGGGTACGAAATTTGAAGCGATTACTAAGATTAAGATTTTTCTTAATGAAATTGAGTATCATTTTACTAAAATGATAAGGTTGAAATGACATCATTTATAACTTATTTGATTTCTGTAAAGTATAAGGGTTAAGAAAATGTAAAGGGTACATTACAAAAATATTTTATATTATTTTAAAATTTGATGTATCATACCATCCTCTTAATCACGGTTAATGATAATTAATTGTACGATATTTTTGTATAATAAAATAAAAAATTTAATGTTTATTTTGTAAATTTTATAAGTTTAATAACTTAAAAGATTACTTTAACTTGATTCAGTGACCATTTGTGAACTTAATTCGTAAAGTTAACCCATAGTAGGTGTGGACTTCATTAGGGTAAACTACATAAATAATCACTTTCGTTTGAGTTATAATTTTTTTCACTGAATTCAAAAAAATAAGATTTGGTCATTTTCATTTCGTTTTAATTAAGATGTGGTCACCTTCGTTTCGTTTTAATTAAGATATGGTCACCTTCGTTTCATTTTAATTAAGATGTGGTCACTTAAGGTTAGTGATCGTTTAACTTTTAACAGTTTGCTGACGTGGTAAAGTAAATATATAAAATTAAAATTATATCATTTTCAGATAATATGTGGATTAAGTTTTGGTCAATTTTGTTTCATATTTGTACACTTTTGGTCACTTACGTTATCATTTTATTAAGTTTTTCTCACTTTGACGTTGAATATCGTTATTTGGATGACATGACTCGTTAGTAAAATGATTTAATTTTTATTTTAATCCCTACATTTTAGACAAAATATTGATTATGTGTTTTTTTGTAAATTCAAATTAGTTTAGGGACAATATTTCAATTTATTCATTTTTAATATGTTTTCTTCCCAATCCCATTGTTGTTCATCTTCTCCCTGCTTCTTCTTCATATATCTCTGCTCTATTGCTCCATTTGCCTTCTTTCAAGCACTCATGATCCATTTCAAGAATAATGAGATTTCCAACTTCTGATAACAAATAATATCACCACAAGTTCAGAGAAAAATGAGAGGGTAGGCATTTAGAGATAAAATGAAGTTGGGTAATCTCAGTTATGCAGACTAAAATTCAATTTCCAAAGATTGAGATTGCACAATGCATATCCAACAAGGATCAAGAAGATGAATCAATGGATCCAAATAATCCGATAATCATATATCACTATTTGTGGTTATTTTTCCTTAAGAAACCGCCTCTTGTGAAATATAATCAATGGATCCAAACAACTCGATAATTGGATCCGTGAATTCACCCACTGAACTCAATCCAAAATCCATGATCTTCAACGTTGAATCTTTGTTTTTGCTTAAGAACAAGCAATTTTCCGATTCTAGATCTTTATGAATCACCGTTAAACCCTATGACCTGGTTGATTTGTATTTTTATCTAAAGTGTAGGGGTTAAAATAAAAAGTAAACTATTTTAATAACGGGCCACATTACCAAACTAACGACATTCAACGTCCAAGTGATCAAAACTTAATAAAACGATAACGTAAGTGACCAAAAGTGTACAAATATGAAAGAAAAGTGACCAAACCTAATCAACGTATTATCTACATAAAAATGATGTAATTTTAATTTTATATATTTACTTTTCCACATCAGCAAACCGTTAAAGGTTTAACGATTGTTAACCTTCAGTGACCGTATCTTATTAAAATGAAATGAAAATGACCAAATCTTAATTAAAACGAAACAAAAGTGACCAAATCTTATGTTTTTTGGATTTAGTAAGGAAAAGTTTATAAAACCCAAACGAAAGTGATCATTTCTGTAGTTTACCCACTTAATTATACTATACGATAAAAAAACATTATTTATTAGTCAGAAATTGATGCATAACTTTATATTGATGTACGAATTTTTAGAAAATTATATTAAAATTTTAAAATATAAAATTACAAGATTTTAAAAAGTAAAAAATAAATCATTAATAATAAATAAGAATTTAAATTATAAAAAAATTAAAGGCTTAAATATACAAAAAGTGTTCAACCTATACTTTTTTTTAGTTTAGTGTCTAATGTTTATTTCGTTCTAGTTTGGTGCCTAACATTTCATTCCGTTACTCAAAATAGGTCAAATCACGACGGACCGTTAAGTTTAACTGTTAAGTGACACGTGTTACATCTTGGTAATTTTAAAAATTTTATTTAAAATTAAATATATATATATATATATATATATATATTAAAAAGGAAACATAAATTTTGAAATAAACCCAAAAATTTGGAAACCTTCATTTCAACCCCTAAACTCACGCCGATCGTCGCCTTTTTCCATCAACGAAGCTCCAACCGACCTCCCCTTCCCTCCCCTTGGTGACCAAAACCCCCATAAAATCATGATCGATCGACGGTCGGTCAACCGTCGGAATCACGTGGGATCGCGATTTTCATCCTAGGGTTTGCGACGTATAAAATGTTGATTCATCATCGATCGACCATTGATCTGTCATGATTTTATGGGGGTTTTGGTCACTAAGGGGAGGGGAGGTTGAGTGGAGCTTCGTCGACGGCAAAAGGCGGCGGGTGGCGTAGGTTTATGGGTTCAAATGAAGGTTTTCAAATTTGTGGGTTTATTTCAAAATTTGTGCTTTCTTTTTAAATATATATAATTTTAAATAAAAAATTTAAAATTATCAGGTTGTGACATGTGTCATATAAAGGGGAAATTAACTCTATTGACGGCCCGAACATCTAAATGAGTAGCATAATAAAATTTTAGGCACCAAACTAGAACAAAATAAACGTTATACACTAAACTGAAAAAAAGACATAGATTAGACACCTTTTGTATATTTAAGCCAAATTTAAAATTACCATGAGAAATACAATCCTCTTCAACACCTCTAATCCATCTCAGTTTTAGTCAATTCTCAATATTTTTTATATAATCGTCGATATCTAATCTATTAATCAATTAATCTGGATTGGATACTGTAGAGATGAAAGCAACTCTTTCAATTCAGGTTTGTTCCATTTAAAGCACTAAAATTCGAATCAATAACTTTACTTAAGGGATCTAATATCTCATCTCACTAGACTAACCGTTTATTAGTTCATTATTATTATTATTATTATTATTTTGTTGTCCTCTAATTCAAAGGTTTCGCCTTAGTTAATCTGGATCGATCCGGGTCGCACACTTGGTTTTGGTAGATGAGTCTTTCAGCGAAAATTTTCTGCACATACAATGACTCTAACCTAAGACATTACTTAAGCGATATCAAGTTATTTACTACTTGAATCAACCTCATCGGTATTCTTATTATTTTAAACATATATTAATTGATATACATTACACAAATTGCGGACGAAAGATTAGCCAATTGTACAGAATCATCGTAATAAAAAAATTAGCAATGTGTATAAATTAAATTATCTAAATGATTAAAAAAATGATTGTTATCTCTAAAAATATTATATTTAAACACTAATTGACTACAAGATATTTAAATATTCTTTTTAAAATGAATGAAAATCTTTAAAATAAATGTTATCTATTAATTAAAAAAAATGTAAAATTTAAAACAACCAATCCTTGTTTGTCGTTTCCCAAATTCATTGCCCAGCAACTGCAAGTCAATGCACGTAAGTAATTATATCTATGTTCATGGGTGGAGGCGCCTTGAGGTGACGCCTTAAAATTTTCTTAAAAATAAAATTTTATAAATTTTAAATATGAATATAAATATTGAAAGTAAAGTTAAAATTATTTTGAAAAAATATTAATATCACTTTATTTAATACTCTTTAAATGAAAATGAAAATGAACATAATAATTTAAATTTTGTCTCAGTTCAAATGAGACAAATCTGTTCAAACCATCATTTCTAATTTATGTTGTTGTGATTTCAAGGAGACAAGTTCTTATTTTGATTACCCTTTTTCTTTCTTCCGTTGTTTATTTTTTTGGTTGTGTGTTTTTGTATCCTGGGGATGAGCATAAAACTCAAATTTGATCGATTTTGATTTGATTATGTCAGATTTTAAAAAAAAAATAACTTTGGATTTGGTTAGAAGTTTTTAGAGGTTGTGTTCGGATTGAATTTTAGTTTAGTGTAAAAATCTCTAATCCGACTCAGCCCAAAACAATATAATTTTACTTTATATATTTACTGATAATTACAATAATATTTCTTTTTATATTTTTTTAACTAAATCCCTATTTTTATTAAATAAAACTAATAATTTTTAATAAATATATTATTTCGAGTCGAATCAGATCGGATTCATATTTTATCTAAAAAAAACATATTGAATTCGAGTAAAATGAAAGATGTAAAAATTGTAAATAAGATCAAATTAACGGAAACCCGACCTAAATCTGACATGTTGCGATCCCTAATTTTACCCGGTAGTTTCCCCAAAACCATCTTTGTTGCATCTCAATATTATCCACATATACACCACAAACACATACACACACGCATGATAAACATGTGTACACTTTTGTATCTGTCCTGTTGTCGTTTAGGACGAATAGAAGGACGGTTAAAGATAATTGTTTTTTAAAAAAATTTAAATTATTTTATATTTTATACTTTTTTTATTAATAATATATATTCACTTCTTAAAATTTTATAAATTTATTTTCTTTAAAAATTTTAAAAATTCTTTTCTTAACATAAAATTAGATGTCTGTGCTAATTTTGATTTGTTTGACGTATACAATGATGTTTGCCTGTTAGGCGATATGGTTTTCCTTTTATAACAGAGTCGGAAACCCGAAGCTTTCTTTTCCATCTCAATCAGTTTCTGAGACCTGTTGTTTGAGTGTTTGCAGGTAAGTATTTTGTTATATGAACGTGTTTTTCATTTTTTTTTTCTTTATTCTCTACCCACTAGAACATGAACTGTATGCTTTTTGTACCCTGATGAATATATTCTTACCAAAAACATCTTCATTAAAGTGCTGTTATTCTGCGACAATTAAAAATTTGATTTCTTGTTTCCTTTTTACTGTAACATTCCCCACTTTGTAATATTCTTGAGTTGTTTCTGGTTTTAAATTCAAGCTGATTTCTTCACTTATTGAAAACTGGTTTTAAGTCAGAATTGGGTAGAGAGCACATGGTTTCTAACATTTTGGACTTTGTTTTTATTCTGTCATATTCACATTCCTTTTTTTTCTGTTGTCTTCTTTAAGAGCTTAGATCCGTGGATTTCAAAGAGGAAGATAGAGTTTAGCTAGCTGGAGAAGCATATAGTTGTTGAGCTCAAAGAACAAGGATGGCAGAAGAGTATAGTGTGCCTCTGTTGAAGAAGAAGTACTATAAGGACTGCCCAGGATGCAAGGTTGATCAAATGAAGGAACTGCAGCAAGGCATCCCATTTCGGGAACTAGTCTCCATTTGGATTGTTGTGTTATGCACTGGTAAGTATTTTTCAAACCCAACCTTTGATTTTATGAGCAAAAACAGTCGGATTCGAGTGCGAGTGTCCAATACGAATATATGTAGAACGCCCTTTTTCTATGATTTCCTTCCTCGGTATTGGTCCTAACTTCCTACTGCCAAATGCTTCCAGCTCTGCCGATATCATCTCTCTTCCCATTCTTATACTTCATGGTGAGTTCAGCCAATTTCTTCATGAAGAAAAACCAAAGCAGCTTTGCTTTGAGATATTTCTGTTGTTTATTCATGTAGCCTTCTTTTAATTGTTCTGTTTTTTTTCAGATTAGGGACTTCCACATTGCAGAAAGAGAGGAAGATATTGGCTCCTATGCTGGTTATGTGGGTGAGCTCATGCTCAAACCTTTTCTCTTCATTGTGCATTCTTTTTCATCAAACATATGATCCTCTAACACAATGCTCATTATCTTTGAAGGCTCTGCATTTATGCTAGGGAGAGCTTTAACGTCTTTACTATGGGGAATATTCGCTGATCGTTACGGTCGAAAACCTGTAATAATAATTGGAACTATTTCAGTGTCAGTGAAAATTCTAGCGGAGTTCATACTTCAAGTTTACATCTCTGAAGTAATGGTGAAAATTCTCAAACTTCTGATTGCCAATGTATTTTTCAGGGTTATTTTCAACACTCTCTTTGGCCTTAGTGTCAACTTTTGGATGGCTGTAATTACAAGATTCCTTCTCGGAAGCATGAACGGCTTACTTGGACCGATAAAGGTTTGTTCGCACTCAGTACGAAATTGTTCGAATCCAAATTCGGTTTTCATTTGTTTTCGGACAACTATTTGATTACTTTTCTCACAACATCCAGGCATATGCAGTCGAAATTTTTCGAGCAGAACACCAAGCCTTAGCCCTGTCAAGTGTAAGCCATTACCAACCTTTACATGCTTTGGTTGCATGGGTTTTAACTTCAGCATCAATATAAAAGCATTACAAAATTTCAGGTTAGCACATCCTGGGGCATAGGATTAGTCATTGGCCCTGCTCTGGGAGGTTATCTAGCTCAGGTACTTCCATTTAAGGCTTCCAATACAGTGTGGGTCATTTGTTAGAAATTATGAAAGATCTTTCAATACAGTGTGCTTCCATTTAAAGTATTCATTTGAGGTTTTCTAAATTTTATAATTCAGCCAGCTGAGAAGTATCCAAATGTCTTTTCAAAAGATTCATTGTTTGGAAGGTAAGTCAACATATTCTGCAGATTTCCATGTTTTGTACTAGCATTTTCTCTGCAAGTGTTTAAATATGATGATATTCATTGTTGCAGATTTCCATATTTCTTACCATGCCTCATCATATCACTCTTTGCCTTGGTAGTTACCATTGGTGCTTGGTGGCTTCCGGTATGTATTCTAATCTGTTTACTTCCTACTTTCTATCGCACTCGTGCCTCAACTGATATCCGTACATGAGTACAGGGATATAATCCTCTAAATACCCTTTAAAGACGTGGAATTTGTGGGGAAAAAAATGAACATATCATTTTTTATTGCAGGAAACACTTCACAAACATGACGACATCGATATATCATCCGATGATTCATATGACGTTTTGGAAGCTGCAACTCATGAATCTAACACAAAGGAAATAAGAGAAACGGTTGAAGGAAGAGAATCCACTAGCCTCCTAAAGAATTGGCCCTTAATGTCATCCATCATTGTTTATAGTGTTTTATCCCTTCATGATATGGCCTACTCGGAGGTACTAATATTCATACAAGTCTATCAAAAAAAGTTCATGGTTTAGTAAGCTATACTAACCTATCTAATCGGAATATATTGTGATTCATCTTCATGCTGCAGATATTTTCGTTATGGGCTGTTAGCCCTAGAAAGTTCGGAGGCTTGAGTTATTCAACGGAGGATGTTGGACAAGTTCTTGCAGTCACTGGTATTAATTTTGATCATGTTAATATCTGCATGAGAACACCATCCCTTGATCAATTCAATAGAAAGATATGAATATGCTTAGTAAATACTGATTACATTGACCAACTGATCAACATATCCAGGTTTTAGCCTTCTCGTCTTTCAAAGTTCCGCATATCCATACGTGGAGAGGATGCTAGGACCAGTAATGGTGGCTCGTATCGCAAGTGTAAGTATCCGAAACCTTGTAACATTTACCTTACTCTTCCTTATGGTTACATAATTTACTACTTGCAGCTCTTCAGCATGCCTCTGTTGCAAAGTTATTCTTGCATTGCCATGTTATCCGGGATCGCTCTTCGCTTGACAATAAGCTGTGCATCGATCTTGAAGAGCCTTTTTTCGGCAAGTGAATATCAAGAGGCATTTATATCATCTATATATGCCACTGAGAGAAAGAATAGCAAGGCTGAATCCTTTAGTTAGGCATCTGTCATGAACTTATATGCCTTTTACTAATTATCGACTTTTTCGACACCACTAGATATCGATCCAAACTGGATTATTCATTCTGCAAAATCAAGCCGTGGTAAGTCTTCACTCCGTATTATTCGTTATTCTACAGAATTAGAACTCACCTCATCTTAATACAATTTAAAAATGGAAAAAAAAAATAGGAACAGCACCAAAGAGGAGCTGCCAATGGCATAGCCATGACTGCAATGTCATTTTTCAAAGCAGTTGGTCCTGCAGCTGGCGGTGCATTGTAGGTCTCCTCTAGATTTTCTCCCGTACTTGCTGCTTCTAGGCCACTATTCAACATTTCACATCGGTTCCTACGATAATCAACTTTGTAAACCTTTTTTCCCACAGGTTTTCTTGGTCGGAAAAACGTCAAGATGCTTCGTTCCTTCCAGGTATGCTAGCTAATCAACAAAGTTCTGCATCATGACATTTACAGGACCGTTTGGTTTGAATAGAATCGAATCAAGTTGAAAACTTTTACGATGTCGGCGGAACTTTTGTGTAGCATAGGTTTCTAGTACAAGGCTTTACTATTGGTCGTTTGATGAATGAGTTTAGCGTAGCATGAGATGCAACAACTTTGACACCTATCATTCCGTTACAGGTATGCAGATGGTATTCTTCATGTTGAATGTGGTTCAAGCCATCGGAATGCTGATGACATTCGAACCGTTTCTCGCCCAACCTCGGCAGTGCTAAAGAAAAGGGGTCCCAAATGTCGGGATAATGATCTCTTATTAAAAGGAAAATGCTCCCAAAGCTTTAATCTCGACCAACGAAAGAACAAGCTTAATGCATTTTTTTGGAGTCCATTCTTTCTTCTTTACTCTTATCCGACATTTATGTTCGACGTGTATTTAAACATAGGTATGAAAGTAATAATCGAAGCAGAACACACCTATGTTGGAGAAACACGTTTGTTTGTAGGACTTGTCTGTGAATCAAATAACATAGCTTCAAAAATATAAATTGACAAAGCAGAAAATACCATGTTGCCATCTCTAGTTGGCCCTGTATTTGACATTAAACTACAATTCGACCTGACACTATTTTTTAATGTAATTTGGTACCTCATTTTGACTGTGGTATATTTTTTGGTTACAATTTTGACTCTGATATATAATTCGGCCTGTAATTATTTTCATATTATATAAATTATTAAGATTTATATTTCAAATTTTAACTTAAAATGAATTCAGAATTTCAATTAAGGTTGTATTTATAATAAGAAAGTATGGGTTAAATTACAGGTTAAAGCTGAATTCAGGGGCCAAAAGATCTGAACTACGACTACAGTGGGAGTCGAACCCACGATCTTTTGATCCGAAGTCAAACGCGCTAATACAATGCGCTATGCGATCTGAGGATAACGGAAGGCTGTACCTATATTAATCTTGAAAAATGGTGCTTGACAAATCCTACTACTACTTCCCATCACTTCTCTTTAAGTTCGAACTTTGATATAACAACGATCATACAAAAGTTTTACATTTCTAATTTTCAAAGGTTTAAGGGCTTCTCGACAAATTGAATACCCCATTGTGCTAATATGTTTTTTTTACCAAAAAGAAATGGGTATGGAAAAACACACGTATCGATAATTGATTAAGATTTAGCCATAAATACTCCTATGGTAAAAGTGTTTTCGAAATTTCTTCATTCTCTCTCTTTAGCGTATAAAAGGTAAGGTTTCGAAGAAACTCACAAATGAACAGAAATCCTTTGCCTCTTTTGTGTGCTTCTCTCTATGCCCCTCCAATAATATTTTTACACGTGTAATTTTTATTTTATGGAAAATCTCATGTAATCTTTTAAAAAGATTCACTTTCCTATTTTACTTCATCTTCAACCTCCAAACCTTGTTGTCAACAATGGCTTAGTGACTATTCCCCTCCATTAATTTTCACAAATATATATCTAATATGCATGATAAAAGAATCGAAACATACAAAATCTGTCGAAGCTTGGTGGGTTTTCATTCGAACTTGAAAATGCAGATTGTTAGGAGGTAATAATGCTTATGATATTCCTCATTACAAAATGCTTAGGAGGTAATAATGCAGAATTTACACCGATTTGGAAGCTGGAAAATATGGGATTTGTTAACTCGAAAATGCTTATCTCTTTTCCTCATTGTGTTATCAGTTCTACAACAAAATGAATATATCACAATCACATATATCCGCAAAACTTGATTAAAAATCTTCACAATTTTTTTGTCATAATACCATTACAATTAAATAATTGATCTATTATATTCATTCAAGACCTAGCGCCCTATCGCAACTGCAAAATCATCTTCAATGGCCATGCGGGTAAATTCTTCGTCTTCTCAGATCCAATATCCTTAGCCATTGTAATCCAACAACAAAAGTCATTGTTGATAGTAAGGTCTGGAGGTTGAAGATGAAGTAAGATAGAAAAGTAAGGGTCCGTTTGGTTCGCTGAAAACGTTTTCCAAAAAATGAAATCTGGAAAATATTTTATAGAAATATAAATCATTTTTCAGAAAATATTTTCTTGTGTTTAGATGGTACATTGTAAAATGTTTTACATTGTTTGAGTAATTTTCTTGAAAACTGTTTTCAGAATCTGTTTTTAATGAAGAAGTTGTACATATTGGATAAATTTTATTATTTATTATTTTTAAAGGTTCATTTTTTATATATAATTATATTTTATAAAAATATGTATTTTAGATAATATTAATAATTGATTAAAAATATATTATAAAATTTTATAAATCCTAAGAATATTTAATTAATAGTACACAAAATTAAAACAACAGTAGTACATAAACCAATTGAATTAAGAACAAATACTCTGTCCGAAAAGGCAAATATCATTAATCTAAAGTTTTTTCGAACCAATGAAAAACTGGTTGATTCATTAAAGACTAGTAAAAACTGATTGGCAGGGAAGTAAAAGTTTCCTTTCATTAAACAACAATGATAGTAGCAAGATCACAACTTAGAAACAATAAGGGTATCTTTACATCAAACTTCTAATACAATTTGGTCAAAAGAAATGAGTGATCAATCAGTACAACTATGGCTAATGCTAATATTCGGTAGAACATGAAATTCAACAAACCAGGGATTCCTAAACGTGCTATAAAGTCACCCAACTTTAGATGAATTAGTTGACTGTTGTTGCAAGTTCTTCCCGAGAAAATCAGACAATTTGGTGGCAGTAAAAATAATCATCCACTGGAAGAAGGATTCGAATAAAGAATATATTAGAATCAAATATTGCATCACATATTATTTAAGCCCAACTAATACTTCAAGAGGCCAAAAATAAACATCATAGTTGTTACAACACCCAAATTCCATACAAGAAAGACTTCAAAGGCAAGCAGCTTCATTTCATTGAAGCTGGTATTATCAATTCCCAAGTTCTTGGTCCAGAATGAAAGCCAATGAAAGTGATGCATTCAGTTTATCTGATAGTAGCCTTAAATCTCCAAAAACATGAAAATCTTTGCAATTACATGTGACTGCAGCCACAAAGTAAACTTAAAATAAAAAGGAAAGACCAATAGACAACAATGAATAGGTTCACCTTGCACACTTAGTGATCCTTCAGGAAGGACTGAATGGACCGAGTTTGGGAAGACTAAATATGCAAATGCCTTCATTTTCTATTATTATGAAAGACATCAATGTCAGCAAATAGGATCTAAACAAAATTTACAAGAAACCAAGGTAACTCAATTCATTCCTATATAAAGCAGCACTGAGTTGTAAACAACTGCAGTCAAAGTATAGTTTTCCACAAATAGCTAACAAATATGGAAGCCTAATATTTAGAAAACTATAAACACTGGAAGCCTAATCTTTGGAAAACCGAAACTCATGGCACAAATAAATGAAACTGTAAAACAATCCTAAGGGAAATGTATAAAGGATACAATGTAACATCCGCAATACCGGGTTAGTGACCAAATTGTAGAGTTTCAGAATTTGGTGACTAAAGTATAAGAATGAAAGAATTCAATGATTATTTGAATATATATTAAATGTTATTTGGTAATTATTAAAGGAAATTAAGGGTAGTATGGTCTTTTCCTTTAAAAGATATTCTTCCCCCTTTTATAAGAGTGAAAAACGTGGGAAGAGAGCTATCTGGAAGCTTTCTTCTTCTTGCTTTCTCTTCTTCACGTGGGGCTAGCTACAAAAGGTAAGTTAATTTCAGTTGGTTAATTCTTAAGTTTTAAGCTTAGTTTTGATTCTTTGGGTATTAAATAAGCTTAAGGAAAGCTTATATAGGATTTAAACAACAAGATAAAGGAATTATGAAGAAATTTGTAATATAAGTTTTAAGATGAAATTTTGATATGGTATGGTTGTTGAAGTTTTATGGATGAATTTGACTTGTCATCAATCTAATTAAGAAGTAGGAAGTGTTAGAATTGGAATTAGAACACATTGAAAATTTGGTATGATTTTTGAATCTTATATGGAAGAGAGAATTTTGAGTTTAAAGAAGTGATTATGGAGTAGAAATGAGTTTAAGTATGTGTATGAAAGTTAGGAATATTAAAGGGAATGAAGTATGATGTGTTGAACTGAAAATGAAGGATTTTCGAGCTCAAAATATGATTTCTGGGCAAGGGGAATCGGTACCCATTCAAGGGGAACCGATACCCCTTCAAACGAACAAGAATTTCCAGTATGTCATGGGGGAACCGATACCCCCATAGGGGGGGAACCGATTCCCCCTAAAGGAAAATTGGGAATATGGGTTTAATAAGTTAGTTGAAGTTGCTAGTATCCAATTACAAGGTGTAGGTATCTAATGATGGTCTCGAAATGTACATTTATGTAGATTCTACGCATAAAGCAATTCCGGAACGTTTGGCAAGTAAGATCGATCAAGGGAAAGATAAGAGATTGGAATTGGCTAGTGAGGCCAGGTGAGTGCATATTAGTTAGTTTATGGTGCTAAATGGAAACAAGACTTGCGACAAGTCTATTTCCTATGTTAGAATGCATGAATATATGATTATACGTATATGAATGACATGAATTGTATGTATGCATGAATATATGGGTTGACATGCTTTTGAATGTAATGTTATGAGAAGTATGTGCTATATAATGTATATATATATATACATATGTGAAACTGAACTATGTGACTGCATGAGAAAGATATGAGCCATATGACATGATATAGGTGAACATGAGAAAGCGAAGTATGAGATATAAACTATGTGGTTATAGTAAAATATAATTATATTATTATATGATAAGTGAAATAAGCTGGATAATATTGATCTATAGGATGAAGTGAAAATAGTACACTAACTAGGGGATTTGAACATAAATGACAAGATGAACGTATAAGATAAGCTAGATGGGAAAGATTCATAGGTTTAAATAAAACTATATAACACATAGGTTGAATGATAGAAATTTGTGAAGTTATATGAGAAGATTATACGAGTTATATGAAATTGAATTAAGTAAACAAATTAGATTATACAGAAAGAAATAATAGAAGTGAGATGTGTTTATAAGTCTGACATAGATGAATATGAATATGAATATGAATTATAAGAGTGCTATATGATTTATATTAGGATAAATCTTGAGGATATATATATATATAGATATGAAATGAAATGAAATGAGTTATATGAATACATAATTATGTGATGAAATGGTGGATTACCTGAACATGTGAATATATATATATAGGTCTAAGAGAAGGCATAAGATCAAGATATAAGCAATGTGACTATAAGTATATATGTGCTCTAAGTGATATGACTTATAGGTATTTCTATTATAATGTTACATAATATGTTATGGATGTTAAATGAATTATGTGATGGTATAAGAACGGATATGAAATATATATATATGTGAAAACAAGTATATGTTATGAGATAAGACTTATGACTATAAGCTACGTGAAAATGTTCTAAGTGTTTCGATATATTATTATATGAAGTATATGATCTTATGTGAACAAT